ACTTCATGTGAGCCGCTGTATGAAACCTTAGCTGAAGTTTAACTCTAAGATCTAATCATTCCCTTTATTGTGTAAGTCAGCTTCAATTTACTTTTCTGTTGCTTTGCAATGTAAGAACACAGATGAATCTCACAAAACCCTTTCAAAAAGCAAGGGTTACATCAGTGTGGAGGGGCATTACTGGCATTTTTGAAGAAACTGTGCTTTGTTTGCTTGTGGGCAAACATCACAAGACACTTAGTGGACCTGAGCTCTAAGCACTGTCAGTAGAGCCACACAATCACTATGACAACCAAAAACCATATATTTCCAAATGCCTCCCAGCCCCAAGAGGAAAAACAATCTATTTCATAACAGTTGTTACATGTACCCTCTTCTCAGTCACTTCACCAGGTATGCTTAAATCAATGTTAAAGGAACTGGACACTCAAATACTCTAATTTTACGGGATAATCCATTTTAATCAGTCACCTATGACTATCTAAATATTTTGCCAAAACCCTATGCATAGCTTATATCAACTTTTGGGGTAAGCAGTATACTAATATTATCTGAAAATTCTATTTAAACTAACTTCTCCATACAACACTGTGGAGATATGTCACTGAAACTGTTAGTGACCTTCTTTTCCACCATTCACCTAACTTCTGCATAGGCTGAAATATCAGACAATGTACTGGTTTTTCCAGTGCTCTTGCAACTAGGGCATGTGCACACAAGAATAAACATCTGAGTTAGTGCTTCTATGAAAAATTTGCTTGCTTAATGAAGAGACAGTTGGGCAAATTTCATCATCTTTGTTGGCTATATGAAAATGTGATGGCTAATACCACAAAATAAAAAGCCTGAGCCCAAAGGTCCACACACTGACAATAAAGACAGAAAGCACCTGGATTCCTGGTAACATCAATGTTCGGCTCAATTAACTATGGAATCCAACTATGGGCTCCTTTTATGTGACATTTTAGTCTGGTATAAGACGTACTCAAGAACTAACAAGTGACTGAAATTGGTAAAAGAACCAAGATAACTGCAAAGTTTCAAAACTAGGTAGCTTAGAGAAAGGTGGTTAGAAAAGAGAAATTAGGAGAAAGTGTGTTTATGCACATGTAAACACACATGGTGAATGGTAGAAGATTACTGATGCTTTGGTGGTGGATGTGATGTGGTAACATACATTTGAAAGTTGTGAACTTATGCCCTGAAAACATATACAGTTTCATAAATCAACATTTCCTCAATACACATAATTTTAAAAAAATAAAATAAATCAAATGTATTCAGTTTGTGTGCGTTAAAGCTTATAGCAGGTATATTTAAGATTGAGATATACAGTAAGCAGTGCTAGTAGGAAGCAGAATTACAAAACTAAAAAACATTTACACAGAAAAGATAATTATATCATTAAAAGAAGGATATGATGACCAAGAGAACAAAGTAAAAAGTTTAGAGAAACTTAAGGACAGTGGTAACCTCCCCAGCATCTATTATACCTCTTCCTCATTTCAGATGTGATTCATCCACTGGTTAGGTCAACAGGAATAATTCTATCTCTCTTGACAAGGATATTGTGACAGACTTAGAAGCATGATCTCCATTTGTTCAATCTGAGTAGAGGGCAGGCTTTTTGGGAAAAGTCTAGGAGATGGGAAGCCTCCTCTCTCCCTTTGAGAGTAAAAGAAGGCTCAGTGCTGATAACAACCCCTTTACTAGGAGGGCAGTCTGGGAAGGAAGCCCAAACAGGAGGACAAGGTTGGGAGAGTAACAAAAAAATAGAACATCAGTCCTGATGACATGAGCCTCTGAACAAATTACTAGTAGTCAATTTTATCTATGCACTTGCCAATTCCATAAACCAATATATTTTTTGTTTTAAATCTAGTTTGCATCCTCAATGAAGTAGGGAATGGCGATTAAAGGACAAAATGAAGACAGTGCAGGCAATGTAATGTTTTCAGAGAAGCAGGAGCATCTGGAAGTATGATGCAGAAGAGCCAAGAATTCAGATAATTCTATTACTACAGTATAAAGTATATTTCACGAATGGTTTAAGGAAAACAATGGTGACTGTAGAAAGATGATTAGATTTATTGATTAGAAAGTCACAGGTGAATTCTAAAATACAGTGCTGAAATGGTAAACAAGGAGTGCAAAGAAAAAAATAGCTTTTGTGAGAACTCCTCAATGACCCAGACCCTTGGAGAAACTTTAACATTAAGTGAAATATTAAGACTCTGAGGTAAAATAACTTTCTATTGCTACAGAACAGAGTCTGAGTTGTAACTTGCCCACAGTCTCATAGCCACTAAGTGGTTTTAATAATAAACTTTAAACTTATGGGCCTCCCCTGGTGGCGCAGGTGGTTGAGTGCAGCGCTGTGAAGCTGTGCAGCCTCTGCAGCGCTGGTTTGATCCCGGAGAGCCAGCGAGGGTCCCACTCGGCGCGACAGACTTCTCCTGTTGTGCCCGCTGCTCCCCTCAGCAGTGTATTTCACTCAGTCTGCCTATTCTGTTCCCCACTCTGTCTCTGGTGAATCCTCTCACCCTTCCGCGCATCTGTCCTGTACCCCGGTTCTTGTATAAATAAATCAATCAATCTTTAAAAAAATAAAATAAGATAAACTTCAAACTTAGATTTATCTGGCTCAAAAGTCGATGGTCTTCCTTCTATAGCAGGCTCTTGGGTAAAATAATGATTCTTTAAAGAAAAGAATAAAAAAATAAGTGGCATGGCAGGCTCAAGATACAGATTTATTTACTTGAATTGCACAGCACACACCCCTGGAAAAGACAGATAAAAAGACAGATAAAAGACAGATGCATATATGAAGTCTAGAGAGGGGAGACTGAAGGTGGAGTGATGAAGAGTTTTAGTGGAAGAAAGATGGAGAGGAATAATCATGGACAAACGGAAGGGCTGCTCTTGAAAAAAAGGAAGAAAATGTTTTCTTCTGAAGTATGAGTAAATAAGAAAATGATACTGAGTTGGAAAAGAGGGAAGTAGAGAGAGGATGGCTATCTCTGATTGAGATTTTTCTATCAACTTCTTAAGCTCTGCTATAAAATCCTTTAGGAAATGACACAAAATGGAGACAATCAACACTAAAGAGAACACAGAATTATCATCTGGTATGAAACTAATATCCTTACATAACTTCAGAATTTCAGGGTTCAAACTGACAGTGATGAGGTTTATTCAGGATTGGAATAGAAAGGTAGAGCTACAAAAAGTGAAGCATTTTAGGGCATGAATGTGAACTTAAAAATTGATAATCACGGGTAGTGGTTACATAGGGAGGCAAATATAATCTGCAGTAGGTTGAGGGTTTGGATGAATAGAGATAAGAGGTGTTCATAAAAAGAGGGTGAGAGAGAAAACCAGTTCCATTCGAGTAGAAGAGAAAGATTTTATGAGTTTGTGATTAAAGAAGTCTTCTGACACCATGCTTCAAATTATTTTGCCAGAAGCAGTGCTTCATTGCCCTTACCTCCTACTATTCCTTCAGTCTAAAGAAGTGAGAGACAACTTGCTCTAAAAACATGCAGTCCTTGGTTGCAGAAACATGAAGACTAGTAACGAATGAATGAACTAACCATACAGAGGGCAAACAAAAATATCTCCTCTTCTTTCACACTGAATAATACTCTCTCCTAAATAAAAATAAATAAAAAAACAAAAGTCTATAGCAAAGGGAAAACATTATGTGTCACGAGGCAGGATGAAAAGTAAACTAACAGACCAATTATATCATACATGTTAACAAGTTTTAGTTACAATTCCAAAAGGGCTAGGACGGTTTGTGCTTTGGTGACTTCGGAAGGCATGTAGACAGCACCCAGCTTCAATAAATGATTTGACTCCATACAATGATAATAAAAAAGGCCCACCCATAAAGGACAAGTTACCATTTACATTATAATGCCACTTTTACAATTTAGGAGGTCTTGACACATTATCCAACTATAGAACAAGACAAGAGAATCAGCCAAGGCAACTTCCTCCACTACCACCTCGATTCTGAAATTTGCACTCACAAAACTCTAGTAAGGGGTTATTTAGGACCGTTTCTGATACCATTAATTCTGACTTCCCCATGCCAGTAATAAAGGAGGGATACCTGACTGGCACAGCCTAAATTTTATAGAAAATAGTAAGGACAAGAAATTTGAGACGTTTTAGTTTAAAAACCTTCACTCCACCTTAGTCCTTAATAAATAAAACAAAGGCGTGTATAAAAGGGGATTCTAAAGCTTCACTGGCAATTTAACACTAAATAGACGAATAAATCACGTATCCTTTCTTGTGCCATTACATGATATCTTACATTTCTAAGGTCGTTTTTTAAAATGAGCACTAATGATTTTTTCACTGGAATCTTTCATCTAAAAAACACGCCTCCGCATCAAAATTTCAAAGACCACAGATTTACGATAGTAAAAAAGAGATTAATTTAGGTGGGCCATCACTGGCTATCACAGACACCATCCTCTATTTTGCTGGAGTTACATGGGCCAAAGAGTTAAATTCCCCCAAACCACCCCAATTTCCCGCGGGACTGATTCTCTCCGTAAGTGAACAAAACTGACTTTCAAGCCTTTTCTTTGTAATTCTACATTGCAGGCTCTCCGGTAATCTCCCCAAACAGTCAAAAACTTATAAAGAAAGCACGAAGGTACGAAACGAAGATGGGGAGGCGACTAAAATACTAAGAGCGGCGGCGACCCACCCACCTCACGCGAAAGGGAAACCGCTCCTAGGGCGCAGCTCCATCAGAAGGCAGAAAAGGTACGGAGGGTAGCAGACGTCGTGAACCCCACCACTCGGGCTTGCACAGCCGGGAACCAACTGGAGGCCTGGAACCAGCGGTAGGGAGCGGTGGGGCGCGGAGACAAGGAAGCCTCACGGTTCGGTCCAGCCCACCAGGGTCCCGGGCGGCGGCGGGGCGAAGCTGAGGAAGCTCTGCCGGCCAAGGAGACGCCGGGGCTTGCAGCCTCACTCACCTGCCAGACGCTCGCCCCGCGGCCAGAAACACGGGCTCAGCCCGGGCGCTTCCTCTCCGGCGGACACTGCCCCCGCCACCGCGGGACCAGAGTAGAGGGGTGCTATAGAGGTCGGCAAAGCGGTGACCGGACACGGATCCAGGCTGGCAACTCCGTCCTCCACCTTCCTCACCAATAGTCGACAGCGCCTCCTGGGAACAGCATCGCCCCAGCCTCGGCCCGCTGCTCCGGGCCTTCGTCCGCAGATCCCCACGGCCCCGGGCGGGCTTCCGGCGGCCACACTCCGCCCCCTCGCTACTTGGCCGCCGCCATCTTGTTGGAGGCAGGAAGAACGCAGTACGCAGGCGCTCTCGGGGACCGCCGCTGTCCCCGGATCCCGCGACGAGCGTACGGTGTTGCGCAGGCGCATTGACTGCTGCGGTCCGTGGCCAGCACCGTTGCTTCTCGGGAAACAAAATCACGGATCCGTGGAGTCTTTCCTGCCCTGTGCTGCAGCCGATTTAATAGACCCTTCAGCGCACTCTAGAGTCAGTTGATCTGCACACCTCTGTCTGCCGTGCTAGGTGCAGGTGCTGGGTTAGGCACTGTTGACAGAAAGATTACTAAAACTTTACTTCAGCCTAAATCTAGGGAAGATGGAAATGAAAAAGTTACCTGCTCACCACCCAGCCACCTTCTCATCCCCCCCTTTTTATTTAAAAAGAAATTCTCCCTGTTTGTCTCCTGGTTTGATCAGGGTTTTTTTCCCCCCCTTTTTTTTTTCTTTTTTAACTTTATATTACCGCTCTCGCTTCATTCAACATTAATTCTGCCAATAATATTTGTGGTTCTATTATGTACTGTGTACTGTTTCAGGTTCTAGGTTTCTAGCTGTAAAGAGTATAAACTCATGGACTTTACATTCTAATGGAAAACAGTAGACAGTAAAAGACTAAAATAAATCAAAATAATGTTTGACAATAAGTAAGAGGCAGTGATTAGAGATTTCTCTCCAGAGATAACGTTTTACTTGAGGACTGACTGGCCAATAGCTGCGAGAAGACCTAGGGACAGAGCCTTCCAGACACAGGTAATAGCAAAAGCAGGGGCCTAAGATGGGAATGAGTCTAGCATTGGAGAGGGATAAATAGGTTACCTGGAATGGACAGGGAATGCGGATGAGGTTAGGAAAGGCAAGGACCATACTAGGTAGGGCATTGAGTTCACGGTAAGGGTTAGATTTTATTTCAAGTGACACCTTAACTTCTGGACACTGCCCCAACTACTACTCTTAAAAATACTTACAGGTCTGAACTGTTCCCCACTGCTCTAGATTTGCTGATTCCACTAACTCAAAGACCCTTTCCCTTGTTATTTACATGTCTGGCTTACTAACTCTTTGCACCATTTGTATTTCTTCCATGGCACTCAACAAGCTTTTAAATTATGTATTTACTTCTTCACTGTCTCTCCCTACTAAACTAAACTCCATGAGGAAAGGAAGATGTTTTGTCTACTGATGAAGGCCCCATGCCTAGCTAGCACTGTGCCTAGCACCATGGTCACTCAATGAATGTGGAAACATTCACCCATGTAGTCAGTGGTATTGGTTTTCACTTGCTGGCTTTTAAAATTAAATGCAAATCATTTTCAATTTATATATTTCCACAATGAGATTTTTTTTTTAAAGATTGATTTATTCATGCATACAAGAACTGGGGTACAGGCCAGAGGTGTGGGAGGTGAGAGGATTCACCAGAGACAGAGTGGGGAACAGAACAGGAGGATCGACTGAAATGCACTGCTGAGGGGAGCAGTGGGCGAGTCAGGAGAGGTCTGCTGTGCCATGTGGGTAGCTCCCTGGCCAGGGATTGAACTCATGCTGCAGTGGTTGCGGATAGCTTCATAGGTTGCATCTTAACCCCTTGCACTACCGGGGAGGCCCTCAGTGGGATTTTAAACAGGAACCTTGGAGAGAAGTGGAGAACAGAGAATGAGATAGAGGTGATGTTGGAACAGAGAGCAGAAATTATGTTGCATATGTTTGAGAGACTGGGAGAATGAAGGCTTTAATCTGATGGAGTATCTATTATTTGTGTTGTGTACTATACTAGATATTTAATCCTCATCACAGCACTGCTAAGTAATTATCCTCATTTTTATATATTGGAAAGTCCAGAGAGGTTAAGTCAGTTGTGTAAGGTGCCACATGAAGAGACAATGCTGACCCTAAACCTTTTGTCTTCCAACCTAGAGAAATTTGATTGGGAGATGGGCTTATTTGGTGATTTGGTTCTGTGTCATTTGCAGGCTTTCATTAGGTATTTCAACTACTGCCACATTGTTATTCTTGTATAACATGATAACAAAGAGCCTGACTGGAAGCTGCTCTGTCATTCGTTTCATTTGGATTGAAGCACAGCTCACTTTCCTCTACACGTTTTTTTTTTTTTAAAAATTGTATTTCTTTTATTAAAAAGTCCAGCATATTTCATCAAAGGAAAAGAAGAGATACAAAAAAAAAATATGTTCATATCCTAAATGCTAGCTGCATGCTCTTTTTTAGGCTTATTACTGTTTGGCTAGCTCTCTCACTTAGGTCCCAAGTTATACTTTAGATATCAAATATGGTTCTCTGGCAGAGAGTTACAGGCTCACCACAATAACCACTTATCCCATTTATTCATTGGAATTACACATCATCATTACTGCCCCAAACTACCTCAGTACAGCTAGGGAGAACCACTAGAAATGCTTACACGAAGTAAGTATTACACTATAACTCAAGAAAACATATACTTTTCAATCAAACCCAATTAGCCATGTGTAAGCCAAGTAGTAGGTGGGAATATATACCTGGAAAGATCCTCAGCACATACACATACCTTCTATTTCACCTTGGTATAAATCCTGGAAACAAGACAATGATTGTCTTTGGTTTCCCTGGTATTGTCTCTTATGTGTGCACCTGCCACCACCACCCCCAACACCTCTAAGAAAAGATATAATGAAATGCTAACCTCCAGAACTAAAGAATATGAATTTATTTGGAATTAGGGTCATTGAAGATGACCTACCCTAATTCGGTAACGTGTCCTTATAAGACGATGAACATACAAAGAAAGAAACATGCAGGGAGAAAGTCATGTGATGAAAAAGGTAGAGATTAGAGTTATGCAGCCACAGATAGGAACACCAAAGATTGCTCACAAACCACAACAAGTTAGGAAGAGGCAAGAAAAGACTTCCCTACAGATTTCAAAAGCATCATGGCCCTGCTAGTTCCTTGATTTTGGCTTTATAGCCTCCAGAGGTATGAAATAACAAATTTCTGTTATTTAAAGCTCCCCAATTTGTAATAGTTTGCTACAGCAGTCCTGGAAACTAATATACCAGCTATGTATATGGCAGAGCCTGAAATAAAGGAAAGAGATAGGAGCTGGCAGTGAAGAGGGATGATCCCAATTAGCAAACCAACAGCAAGACCTCAGACACCCCTGTGAGCAAGTTTCTTGTCTGTATGAGAGATAATGACAGCTGTTCTACCTGCCTCAGAAGTCTGCGGTGATAACTAACAAACATTCCTCCAGAGGAAACTAAGATGGTTTTATGGATATTTTTTGTAAAAGACAGAGTTCCTACCATAGGGAATATAACAGTCTGTGTCGCAAAAATATCAAAAAAAAAAAAAAAAGACACTTGGCGCGACTCCACTGATCCCCCCCTTGGGTCTGTGAGGTCCGCCCGGGGCGCAATAAACTTTCCCTCCCTTTGAGAAATGTAGCCTGGCTCTCCTTCTCTTTACCACGCCGAACCTTTCATCTTGGTGCCCCAAACCCGGGAAGGCCGTGTCCCCTGGCGCTGGGGCCGCCTTCTCGTCCCTGGGACCTCTCCTCTCCATTGCAGACATCTCACACACCCACCACCGGCCTTAATCCTTGCGATGCCTCCTGTGTTTGTAGACTGGCAGCTCTTGTGAAGATGCACGCGGTCAGCGGAGGGCCACCTAGGCCACTGTTACCATCGATGAGCCTTGCAGCTTCCAACTGAAGTCGCCATTATCCACTGAAAGGACACCAACTGACAATTCTTACGTTACCACAGGGAAAAACAAGGCGGATGCAAGGGCTTTCTGGATCAGGAAAGGTTAAGAATGCAGTTTTAGGGCGAGGAGACGCTGCGAGTAAGATCTCCCATTAAAAAAAGTTAATAGGGAGGAAAAGCGGCAGGTCCCAGTGAGAACTGGGACACGGAAGATAAACGGGTGACTCCAGCAAACTGCCCGAAGAAGAAAGTTGCCATAAAAGAGGACCAGAAGGGAGGGAAGCTCAGAACCCTGCTCCCCTCCCCTGCCCACAGAGTCTGCACTCTCTGACCCGCAGAGAGGAGGAAAACAACAAACCAAAACCACCAACAAGAACAAACGACGCAGCAAGCAGGACTGTGAGTGGAAAGGAACTATTGCAGCCACCACACCCCGTGAACGGGAGCTGTGGAGAACCCTGCAGGATTCGCCGCAGCGGTGAGCGAAGGCTCCGGGCACCATTAGAGAAGAACAAAGACCCCGGGAGATGCGCACACAGCCCGGGCTGCCGGTAAGCTTGCGCGGAAAAACAGCGCTCTTGGCGAGCGCTTGAAAAGCAAATGCAGACCGGGATCACCGCTGCCCAGGTCCCCGCGCCTGCGACCTAGGCTTGCGGGGAGACGCGCGGAGGACCTCACGGGGGTGCAAGACCCTCCCTGAGTGAGCAGGAACCAGGCGCCCAGGCATGGGAGCGGGGTGCAAAAGGCGCCATTCCAGCGCCACTGAACTGGGCTACAGCCCGCGTCCTGGACCTGAGGGCTTTGGAACTGAGACCCGGGGCACGAAATTTGGGGCGTGGGTTCTCCACGATGGCGGGGCACAAGGCAGACACAGCACCCCAAAGCTGTTGAGGTTTACCCTACCATTCGCACTCTGTTCCCTGTCCCACGGGGTGGGGGGAGGCCAAAAACAGCCCCCCAAGGACAATAGGAGAGATCTCTGGCACCACCTAGCGACCAGAAAAAAAAAAGTCACTAACACCCCATAGAACAGGAAATTTCTTAAGACTGCTTGAAAAGGGCAGAAGGCTTCTGGAGGACCCAGTGGCCAGCCGGGAAGTTAGCCCATGCCAGGCCCCTTCCGACCAGCAGTCTGAGCCCACAGAGGGAGCAGGCACCCACGTCCGGGGCAGACCGGGTGCACAGAAGAGTGTGCCTGAAACCGGAGGCGCAGGGACTGCATCCCACTTCGCCATTTTAGAACAGGGACATTTCTTCAGTAAAAACTGCCTGAAACCAGCAGAAAGCTGCCCCAGAAGCC